AAACCTGAGGCATCTGAAGCTGAAAACTAGAAAGAATCTCTAAATAATATTGACTCTCGATTTATTATTATTTTCTCAGCTATAACTCATTTCATTGCAGGCATGAATGAGGCTGGGACTTCACTGCTGTAGGAGTAAAACCAAGTTCTAAGAAGAAACAGATGTTTTCACAAAAGCTCTTTTAATTTATTTTTAAGGAAAAAATAACTCTTTGTTTTGTGTTGTATAATAACTTGAATATCATTATCCTCCTCCAAGAAAAAAGCCCACTTTTGTTTTGTTCTATAACCCAGTAATTGCATGTATGCCTATCAAACTCTTAATGCCTTAAAATTACAATGAAACTAATGCAGTTGTCTGGATTTTTAAAACACACATAAGAAATATCTTTAAAATGTGATCAAACTGAACATCTGAGCACAAGATCTTGAGAGCAAACAGTGCAGAAGAATGACCCCAACCAGGGAAATAAACAATAGTTTGAGGGGGAAGGCGTTTGGGAATATGAAGGGGCATTTTTGGCTATTCCATGAAGTTGGAGGCGGGTGTTTTAGGCTGGCATTTTGTGTCTGAGGGCAAAAAGGTTAAATGTCCCACAAAGCACAAAAGAGTCCTGCACAATGAAGCACTGTCCCAACAAAATACGCCAGCAATCATCTATGTGGAGAGAAATGGTTTGGACCAGGTCAATTTCAGGGTATTTGACTTAGGCACCGAGTCTTACCCGAAAAACTCTGGTTTATTATTATTCTTTATTTGTCTTTGTACAGGTATGCATATTTTCTCTTCTGATTTCCTACAATAAACATGTACAATCCTCTTATTGTTTGAACACACACACACAGTCTTCTACATAGAGGTCGGGCGGGCAGTAGAGGACACTCAGAAGTACTGGTATTTTTCTAACTCTCTTTGGCTTTTCTCTTCTTCTGACATGGGACAGGTAAGAAACTACAAGAGGAAATACCTTCTTTGACGAGGCTATCAGTGAAGAGACTGGTGAGGATGGTAGCAGGAAGGGTGCCGTTACCTAGCAGGATCCCCGACAGCATTGCCAACTTTGTCTGCTCTGTTTCGGAAAAGGCTTTAAGGAAGAGGAGAAGCTGTGGGTCAAACAAAAGAAACCATGTCTATAAAGCAAAGGACTCATGCAGGAAAATAACACAGAATGTCCCTCCACGGCTGGATCGCACATGACAACTAAGTCATACGGAGCATACTTATTATTCACTGGAAACACATCCATATGTTCAATGATAAACTGGATGCTGCAGAAAGGGTCTTTATCAGGCAGAGTTCCTTTCTTCCAAGTTCAGTTACACATAGCTGTAGGTAACATTCGTGGGGAGGAAAAGAGGCATTTGGAGAACAGTGTATATAGTCACATAAATAATTTACATTTGACTTTGTACATGATCAAGGGTTAAATATCACATAATGAGCATGTTTTCTGAAATACACTATGACCTTTCATAGTTTTTTCACTTCTTTGCATATCCTCTACCCCCAGTCTACATCCACCCATTTTCTTTGGGTCTATGATAGCAAAACCAACAAACAGAAAAATAGGAAAGACTCAATAAACTTTGACATTCAGCATGTATTTCTCTGAGCTCACAGCACGTAGCACCCTTTAAAACAAGACTGCTGAGTGAACACGGGGTTTTCTAAGTTCTTGGTGCCCCTTTTAAAATAATGAGGTTCAAATTTGTATTTCTTGGATCACACATTTTACCACCAGTCCTGGTGATGAGATAATGGAGGATGTGAGATAAAGAAATGATCCACGCAGAGAAGAGGCCTCTGCTGTGAGTTGGGAAGAACAATGTTGGAGGGGCAGCAAGAGGATCATGGTGCTGTGTGGGTCCTTCTGGGTCCCCATGTCCCCATTCTCTTATCCCAACAGTTAGAAAACTGAAAATGTAGCAACCCCAGGAAGGTTGAAGGGTTGCCAAAGTGAAGGGGATTATACCCCACTTCCCACTTTGAATTTTAAGAGTATGCAGTCTTGCAGAACTTGCCCTTCTCCTTCCTAACCCTCTTCCACCTCGTGCTTTCACTGTATTCCATGGCTACCTTCTCTGTTTCAACAGACCTAGGCATGTTACTGAGATTCCCCAGGGCCCAATATCACTATTGGAGCCCTGCTGATTTTTCATTACATTGCACCAATGAAAAGTCACTGGCATCAATATAGGATTATTGAGTGCTTGAGGGCCAATGAAATTCCATTAGCGCTGCATGGAGGGTAGGGCAATATTAATGAACATCTCCAACACTGCATTACAGAGAAGCTATGAGGGTCTCCAAATATTTATATGATGAGTAGGTGGCAGAACTGGAATCAAGCTGGCCCATTTCACTCCTAATTTATGTCCATTAAAGTCTCAGTGATTAAAAAAAAATTACTTTCTAAGTTCACAAGAAAAGAGGTAACGAGGGAATGAGGCATCAAATGGCTAAAGCTCCAGGGAGCCTCTGGAATGGGGTGAAAAAACTGACAAAACCGTAGATACCAGTCTTCTTATTACAAAAATAAATAAAAATGAAAAATAGCCCCCAATATAAAAATATTAATGACTTGTTTAAGCATGTTAATATATTCATTAAAAATACTCAATTATAACGAAATGGTGCAAAAGTTCTATTTTTTCTTAAAACTAATATCCATATTGCTCAGTTATACTAATCAACATTAAAATCAGATGCTGCATATACTACAGCAGAATTTTCTTTAAAAAATGAGTATACTGAAAAATAAGTCATTCTTATCTCAAATGAAATAAATTCATCAAATGAAACAACTGAGAAAATTTTCAAGGTTCAAATGAGCTGAGAAAAGTAAAACATGAGCAATGTTAGACACAGCGTTTAGATGTTTAATTTCTTTGAATGCTGTAACATTCCTTTTGGGGTCATATCTATCCTTCTATTTTAATCAAGTACTTATTATTTTCTAAGCATCAGACATATAAGGGATTGCATTTTTTTCCATTTAAATGTCATTAAAAAAAAAGAAATACAGGTTAATAGAACAAAATCTAGTAACAGAGTAATACAAAAATGTGAATAATCTCTTAAATCCTACTTCCTTGGAATTAACATTTTTAACGGTTTGATATGTGCCCTTCCAGAGTTTTAAATGTACTTATATATGTCTACATATTATAAATAATTACATGTACATACATATGTTTTTACTCAATTATACATTGATAATAGCTCAAACTTGTTGAGTGGAGCAGATAGTCTTAACAGTTTTAATCCTCACTTTAAAACAAAGAAATCTGAGGCACAAAGAAATTAAGTAACTTGCCTATGGTTAAACTACTACCAAATGGTTGCTTTTTCAATTGACAATTTTTTATGGACATTTTCCCTTACGAATTCATGTGGCTATGCTTCATTCTTTGAATGACTGCACAGGATCCCACTGCATAGAGATCATAATTTAATTAACCCATCTCCCACCACAAACATTTAGGTTATTTCTCAATACTGTGATGAACATCTTTATACATACAGTTGTATGTATCCATGCTGAAGGATTCTTTTAAGTGTGAAAGTTGGGTCATGGAGAATGTAAATTAAAAAAAAATGATTTTACTGGTAAAATGTTCTTCATTATATATTCTGAACAAAGGGAAGCAAGTAGGCAAACAGCAAAGTAGATGCTGCAAATCAACAAAGTAAGTAACAAAGTATATGATTCCTTTATTCCTTTGGTTTATAATTTAGGCAGATATCTAAAATCAGAAATGGTGGCAAAGCAGCACAGAAATCTGTAATAAGTTAGTGTGGCGACTGCTATATATAAACACAGAGGAGTTGCAAATTAGAAGAAGGAACATGTTGTAATTACTGAAAAGAGGGCTTCTTTAATGAGCTGCTATTGTTTTCTTGGCTACATTAGATGCCAGTTACTGTGTTAAGTACCTCATAGCTTATTTCATTTATTCCTACAACAACCATAAAGTATGTACTGTTATTGCAGCTACTTCATCGATGGAAAAAATCACTGAGATTGAAACCTAGACCTTATTTCCAAAGATGTGTTTCTATCCCCTTCGCTAAACTGCATCTTCTAAAATGAAAGAATTTTACTATTCGCTGCTGTACTATGCTCTTTCACGAGCTTTAACTAATTATATATTCTATAAAACTATTTCTTTGAACAAAGTATGCTGTGCTTCATTAAATATGAAGGAAAAATCCTATGCTAATCATGTATGCCTTCCTACAGCTATTAGCTAATGATCAGTTACACTCACCCCTTCATTTAACAAACATTTACTAAAAACTTAACAATGTCCAGGATACTTCTGGATTATCACTGTATAAGTAAAATTTTTGTTCCTCTTCATTTCAACTTTTAAGCAAATAAAGCATTACATTTGAATTTGTACCTTTTTCATTTCATCCTCAAACGCCTTTTCCAAATACTTATATCTCCTGATGAGTTTATTGAAGACCTAAATGTAAAAGAGAGCCAGTCAGTATTATGGAAACAATTTTAAAAGGCAACAGGGGGAGGCATAGAAACTAACGCAAACCACAGCATGGCTCTACACTAATAAAAATGTGTAGTTAAACATGCTCATACTGTGATATGAGAGCTATAAGCATTTCAAAGGAGTAATTATGACCTCGGGGAAAAAGAGGATCAAAATGCACTTGGAGAATAAAACAAACTCGTTCAAGAATGTAACAGGTAAGAAACCAAAAACAACTTTCATGAAAATAAAATGAATGTAATTTTAAAATTGTGTGAGGCAGGGGTGGAAAATAACTGAAATGAAGGGGATTACAGACATAATCGCTTAGATAACGGATCTGATGGAGAGGAGATCGGAGTTCAGGGGAGATTATACTCCAGGTGAACACAAACATGTTTTCAGCAGATGAGCAAGAAAGATTACTGGCCCCCACAATCCAGTTAGAATTCTCAAGCAGAGTCTGCAGCTGTTATCAGTGGAATTCTGGACTGTTTTTATTTTTTGTTTTTTAAGTGAATGATGTTTGTTATGGACTGAATGTTTGTGTTCCCCCGAAAGTCGTATGTTGAAGCCCTAACCCCCCAACGTGACTGTATTTGCAGGTAGGGACTTGAGGAGGTAGTTAAATGAGGTCATAAGGGCAGGGCCCTAATCTGATAGGACTGATGACCTTACAAGAGCCAGGGAGAGAGACCTCACCAAGAACCAAATTCACTGGCACCTTGATCTTGGATTTCCCAGCCTCCCAAACTGTAAGAAATAAAATACTGTTGTTTAAGCCGCCTAGTCTGTGGTATTTTGTTACGGCAGCCTGAAGACACTAACACAGTCTTCTTAATTAGACGGGGATTTTCAAATATTATTTCAATATTTTTAAAACAATGTCTGAATCTAACTCCTTTGTCTTATACCCACGTGATATACACTCACCTAAAACTTCCTCTGTGTTTATAGCTCAAGCGATAAAGATAGAGTCCAAGAGTAAAAACTATAGTGCTGCCCCTTAGGAGGAAAGAAAAATGACCCAAGCAGGGAACTGATACACAAGAAGGGAAAAGAATAAATTGTATTGAAATCCTACAAATTTGATTTCTAACTTATATTCGCACTCACATGCTCCTTAATGTGATTATTATCAGGAAAAAGAATTCTCCTTATCCAAGAATGATTATCCATATCCCCACAGGTAAATGTCTACATACGAAATCAAAAATCATTATACTACAAAAGTACTCTCCAGTGAACCAAAAGCTTATAAAATTAATTTTCACTCAAATATCACGTTTTAGTTAATTTCTCTCTCCCTGACTACCTCAAGTTTATCTGTCAGTCTATCAGTACACAATAGTTTTTGATAAATTCAGGAACAATGTGTCAAAAGGTCTTTCAAATATGTATTTTCCATATGAAAAGCAAAAGTGTAAGTAAAAAGAAACTATCCTATTTATAGATATAACAAAGAGGCGAAGTCCATATAGATCTTTTAAAGTTTAAGGGCACTGCAGAGTAGAGTGCTGATTTTTCTTCCAGGCCTTCTTATCTTTCCTTCCCAGTGGGACTCAAATAGCAATAATACACCTTGTTCTTGCATTAATTTAACCTTTTATAGTG